AAAGGACAAAGTAAACTTAGATGGTCAAAATGATGGATAGATAATCAAGATTAAGAGTTATCTTAAAGATTAATACAATTGAAAAATACATAATTATTTGGCATCATTATTTGAAAATTTATGAAAGCCAGCAGAATTTAGAAAAATCAATAAGTTCAAAGCCAATTTGAACTCATTAGGGATACATACAAAGTGTGGTAGTAGACTATCACAGCTTAATTTTCCTTTCCAACAAAAATCCATTCTATCCTAAAAGCTTGAAATAGCAGTTCTCACTTGGCAGTAGATGCTAGTAACTCTGGACTGACAAGGTGGATGTTGACACAAGTGACAGAAGGAGCAAGAATATTGAGCAGGAGGATATTTAGAAGAATTATGTTAGATAAAAATAAAGGCTGGCACATCTACAATCTTAACCTTTGCATACTATAGACCCTTGCATAGCAATTTATACATGTCACAATTTTGTTCGGCACTCCAAGATCATTGAAATATCCTTGTCAAATTATTTGTAAAGTATTCCTTTTGATGTATGAGAACTTCAAAGTTAAATATTTTCTCTTTGCCCCCATACTTTAATTTTAAAGGCGTATATGCCAATAATTTTTCATTGGTAACTGTATTTATTTATTTATTTAGAGACAGTGTCTCACTTTGTTGCCCTTGATAGAATGCCATGGCATCATAGCTCACAACAACCTTAGACTCTTGGGCTCAAGCGAACCAATTGCATCAGCTTCCCAAGTAGCTGGGACTACAGGCACCTACCACAATGCTGAGCTATTTTTAGAGACGGATCTAACTGTAGCTCAGGCTGGTCTCTAACTATTGAGCTCAGTCAATCCATTCACCTCAGCCTCCCAAACTGCTAGGATTACATGGTAACTGTATTTAAATGGCAATCACACCCATCTGTTTAGATTCTATTGCAGGCAGAAAAGGCTCAGGGAACTTTATTTCTATCTCTTTCCTTAGATTTAAAGGAAAATTATGATCAATGTCACTTGCAGATTCCTTCCAAGGTAGAGATATTTTCCATATAAAGTTCAAATCACAAATAAAATTGAACTAAGTCAATAAGAAACTGAGAATTAAAAAAAAAAAATCAAGACACTCACCAAAGAATTTTTAAAACAAAAGCTGCTGATTCTGTTGGATTTACAGGATAACTTTCTTAAACCTTTGAATGTAACCAGAGTTCCCACCAACACAGTGAATTACCACTCCCTGATGTCTCCTTCCACCAAAATCAGTCCTGAAGGACCTGTATACAAAAACATATGAAGAGAGAGAGGCAGCAGAGTTCAGGGATGAAGATTTAGACTTCCTGGGTTCAAATTCTACCTCTGCCATTTATTAGCCTGTGGTTGGAGCATTTACTTGACTTTTCTGTACTTTAGCAAAATAATGATAACAAGAAAACCTCCCTCGCTTATGAGAATTAAGTGAGGTATTATTTGTAAAACAATTAAAATGCTGCATGACACCAAGTAAACCTATTGTGCTAGAGTTTGCTAGATACGCACATAGGAAGAAGTCCCCCAGAACCCAGGAAATGGGGTTTGAGGGGTGGGGAGTAGACAGAGTCCTATGAAGAGCCCCTGAGGGCAATGGAAGCTTGCTGGTAAGGAGCCAGCACAAATGCATGAGATAGGAAAATGACCTTCTTCCCTCTTACTTCTCTGTGGAACCTGGTGGAAGCAGTCTGGGCCTCCCATGCAGGTGTATTGTAGGCAAAATCAGGACAGCACAAACTGCCCCCTCCCAACCATGGGATAAAGCTCTGAGGAAAACTGGTGGGGATCAGCTAGTCCCAGGCAGAAACCAAACAGAAAGGGAAACCGGCTGTAACAGAAGTGACCTCTAGGTGTCGCCAGACTGAGGAGTCTGTCTGCCTGTCACTCAGCAGAGAAGCAGATGAGAGATCAACGGTTTCACTTGTATTTACAGACAAGTCAGCAATTCTGCAGAACAGCAAGGATACTTCCTCAGAGACCTGTTCTGTTCTCCTGTTTCTTTTTTATTTTTTTTTAAATTTCAGATTAAGATGACGGCATTAGCGATTAGGTTACAATATCTGCATTACAGTGGTTGGTGAGTCAGACAATCACCTGCAGAACTTCTTTCTTGACTTTACTATAGCAAACACTCTGGACCCCTGGCCTTTACGGTCCTGGGGTCTGTCCAGAGGGCAGACATGTGTGTCTCTCTCCTTCCTGCTGGCCTCCCAGGCTGGGCACCCGGTTCCGCACCATCCTCACCCCCACCCCACTCCCGGCAGCAACCCCAGCTGGCTGTACCCGGGCTCCTCCTGCTTCCCTGACAGAACAGGTGCACAGGCCAGGCCCGACCACAATTCCTTCACCCACCCACACGCCCCGCCACCCAGTGCTCCACAGTCCTACCTTTAGGGAACTTCCTGAGCAACCAGCTGGGGCTCCCAGGAAGAAGAGACAAGCACAGATGTCGCCTTGGGTCGTGATGGCTCTGGTGTCCTCCTCCTCCCGCCAAGTGTTGGGTAGGTGGGACGGGCCTGAGGAGAAGCGGGAATTCTTCGGATCAGGAAAAAAGATCTAAGACCCTCTCTTACCCTTTCACGCTCCAGCAAGTTCAGATCCTCTTCGCGTGTCCTTGGAAGCTCCAGGGTCCTGTCCTTATATCCTAGCGGTTCGCGCCACCCCCACGGATTGACTGACCAATAGGAGTGTCCACTAGACCCGGGAAACTTTGCCGCGCTGAATGAGGCTGAGGCAAGAGAATCGCCTAAGCCCAGGGGTTGGAGGTTGCTGTGAGCAGTGTGACACCATGGCACTCTACCAAGGGCAA